TAGTATGATGCTTAAATATTTCCTCAAAGATTGTAGCATGAATTTGATCAGTAAGATTTAAAAAATAATTCTCTTCTGCTCACCAAGACTGCATTTATTTGAACTACAGTCAAAACAGCAAAAATTGTGAAATATCTTTATCATTTAAAAGAACGGTTTTCTATGTGAATAAATTGTAAAATGTCATTTATTCCTGTGATCAAAGCTACATTTTCAGCATCATTACTCCAGTCTTCAGTGTCACATGATCCTTCAGAAATCATTATAATATGATGATTTGCTGCTTAAGAAATTTTTTTTTTTTTCATAAATTCAAAAGAACAGCATTTATTTTTAAAATCTTTTGTAACATTATCAATGCATTTACTGTCAAGGTTGATCAATTAAATGCATCCTTGCTGTATAAAAGTATTAATTTGTTTAAATTAAAACCTTTCTGACCTCAAACTTTTGAAAAATAGTGTATATTTCAAAGAAAAATATATTTTCAGAATTAAATTGAGAATTAAATAATTGAATGTTTACTATTATTTTGTATTTTTTTAGGCTGGGTCATTTGAGTAAGTTTTAGATTTAAAAATACATGAATCAGTATATATTCACAAAAAAATATATCGCTTATGATATACTCAAGCCACTACCATGGTCTAAAAAGCACCCTGTTTCACCCCTTCAGATCTATCCTTCTCTTTCTTTACACGTCTCACCCTCATCACACTCTCACACCACAACACAACCCATGACAGGCACATGATGTGCTCGGCTCTCAGACAGACAGATTTCTCTGTACAACAGTTTTAGGGCAACGTCTCACCCTTCTGCTTGATTCGGCCCCAGTCACCCTGACACATCTTACCCACACACATCCAAAGCCGTAGTCAGACACTTATTATTTAAAAAGAGTCACGCCATAGAGAGCATGCCAGCAATGTAATTTGTGCAAAGCAACAATCGGGGACCAACATTAACACTCATCAAGTGCCAAAGGAAATATTGGATTTGTTGATTTTTCTGGCCGGGGTGCAAAGAAAGAATGAGGGTCTGACCATCATCACCCTTTTAAGTTAATGGAAAGTTGATTTTATTATTAATTTATTCATTCAAATCAACGCATTATAGATGAACATTGCGGTAACACTTTACTTAAATCCTTTTTTTGAAATATTTTTAATGCATTAATTATTCCTTGAAATCACATGAATAATTGTAATACAGTTATAATACATTAGTACTTATGTTGCGCCTTTAGAAATTATAATGCATTAAAACACAATAAACACACAATGACAATAAACCAAATACAGATGTAACAAGGAAACTGCAAAATATCATAATGCATTTTAACTTTGGTTACAATATATATATATATATACACTCACCGGCCACTTTATTAGGTACACCTGTCCAACTGCTCGTTAACACTTAATTTCTAAGCAGCCAATCACATGGCGGCAACTCAGTGCATTTAGGCATGTAGACATGGTCAAGACAATCTCCTGCAGTTCAAACCGAGCATATGGGGAAGAAAGTTGATTTGAGTGACTTTGAACGTGGCATGATTGTTGGTGCCAGAAGGGCTGGTCTGAGTATTTCAGAAACTGCTAATCTACTTGGATTTTCACGCACAACAATCTCTAGGGTTTACAGAGAATGGTCCGAAAAAGAAAAAACATCCAGTGAGCGGCAGTTGTGTGGGCGGAAATGCCTTGTTGATGCCAGAGGTCAGAGGAGAATGGCCAGACTGGTTCGAGCTGATAGAAGGGCAACAGTGACTGAAATAACCACTCGTTACAACCGAGGTATGCAGCAAAGCATTTGTGAAGCCACAACACGCACAACCTTGAGGCGGATGGGCTACAACAGCAGAAGACTCCACCGGGTACCACTCATCTCCACTACAAATAGGAAAAAGAGGCTACAATTTGCAAGAGCTCACCAAAATTGAACAGTTGAAGACTGGAAAAATGTTGCCTGGTCTGATGAGTCTCGATTTCTGTTGAGACATTCAGATGTTAGAGTCAGAATTTGGCGTAAACAGAATGAGAACATGGAACCATCATGCCTTGTTACCACTGTGCAGGCTGGTGGTGGTGGTGTAATGGTGTGGGGGATGTTTTCCTGGCACACTTTAGGCCCCTTAGTGCCAATTGGGCATCGTTTAAATGCCACGGCCTACCTGAGCATTGTTTCTGACCATGTCCATCCCTTTATGGCCACCATGTACCCATCCTCTGATGGCTACTTCCACCATGTCACAAAGCTCTAATCATTTCAAATTGGTTTCTTGAACATGACAATGAGTTCACTGTACTAAAATGGCCTCCACAGTCACCAGATCTCAACCCAATAGAGCATCTTTGGGATGTGGTGGAACGGGAGATTCGCATCATGGATGTGCAGCCGACAAATCTGCGGCAACTGTGTGATGCCATCATGTCAATATGGACCAAACTCCCTGAGGAATGCTTCCAGCACCTTGTTGAATCTATGCCACGAAGAATTGAGGCAGTTCTGAAGGCAAAAGGGGGTCCAACCCGTTACTAGCATGGGGTACCTAATAAAGTGGCCGGTGAGTGTATATATATATATATATATATATAATCCATTAAAATGTTCATTTTGAATACCTTTATAATGCATAAAGGCTTTAAGTATAGTTACCAACACTTTAACCACCTTTAAAATTAAATGTATAATATATTTTTTACAAATAATGTCTAAATATGTGTATGCAAGTTATATTTAGTTAGTTTAAAACATATTTTTTTATACATTAAACAATTTTTCTTTCATTTTGTATAATTTTTTTACATTCAATGTATAAATGTTTAATGTAAAAAAAATTAAATTGTTTTGTTTATATATAAACACACACACACACACACACACACACACACAATACATATATATATATATATATATATATATAAACATTTATAAATTAAGCAACATCCAAGCATAAATTAAGCAACTATCCAGGATGTTTTGGTATTATTTTACAGTGTTTCCTCTTAGATTAATTTTTGCTGGTGTAAATGAGAAGACGCAGGGGTGCCTGTTCTGTTCTTCTTCAGGTATTTCTAGGGGCTCAAAAAAAAGTGCAGCAAAGATATTGTTATAACCGAGGAAGTCGTGCTCAATCCACAGGCAAAACGATTCCCACAGGGAACGTCCTGAACCTGTAGCCTGCCGTTTCTGCATATCTGGCCCTTCTTTCCATCTTCCTCTCTGTCCGTGTTCCTCGTCCTTTTTTTAGAACGCATAATTTCTAAAAGTTTTGGATTCAAATTCAAATTACTCAGTATATATTCACAAAGATATATCGCTTATCATATCCTCAAGTCACACTCATCTTTTACAAGAAACAGAAAACATAATAAAACCAAAGGCCATTAAAACTACAATAGTTGAGTCATTTCCGACATAATGCTCTCTGAGATACTGTTGTTTATACATCATATAAATGCATATGAATTAGCACTGAGTGTTTGGAGAATGTGCACAAAGATGATTTTGGGCATCATAAACAGACATAATAGAGAATAATAAAAAGGCAGATGATCTGTGGATGTGCTGTAAGCTCTTTAAACGCAGATATATGAGGAGCGCTTCAAGGCATCATTGCACCCTTGTATCTTCAAGCTCTCTCTGTCTTGTTATCCACTTTTTCATTTCTCTCTCTCTGGACTGAGGAATCTCTTTAGATCTCTTTGCACACAGATAAAAAGGCATTTCATATTGGGCTCGCCTGCAGGAAGTGGCATTCTCTGCTCCGCTGCTTTCAAAGGGTCTGGGACTCATTTCTGTGGTGTTAGATTTATACACTCATAGCGTGAACCACAGAGAATATTGCAATTTTTGACATTTTTATGCAAATGTTAAAGGTGCACTAATGTGCAAAAAGAAAAAAAAAGAAAAAAAGTCATATGTTTTTGAAAGAAGTTTGCTTCTTTTATTTGATAAAAAAACTATAAAAACAGTAATATTGTGAAATATTGGAATATCGTTTAAAATATATTTATTCCTGTGATCAAAGCTGAATTTTCAGCATCATTACTCCAGTCTTCAGTGTCACATGATCCTTCAGAAATCATTTTTAAATGCTTATTTGATGCTCAAGAAACACTTATTATTATTAGAAATGTTGGAGAAATATATCTTCCACACCATTACACCAGCAGCCTGAACCACTGATACAAGGCATGATGGATCCATGCTTTAGTGTTGTTTACACCAAACTCCGACCCTACTATCTGAATGTTGCAGCAGAAATCGAGACTCATCAGACCAGGCAATGTTTTCCAATCTTCTATTGTCCAGTTTTGGTGAGCCTGTGTGAATTGTAGCCTCAGTTTACTGTTCTCATCTGACAGGAGTGACACCAGTGTGTGTGTTCTGCTGCTGTAGCTCTTCTGCTTCAAGGTTTGACGTGTTCAGAGATGCTCTTCTGCAGACCTTCGTTGTAACAAGTGGTTATTTGAGTTACTGTTGCCTTTCTATCAGCTGAACCAGTCTGGCCATTCTCCTCTGACCTCTGGCATCAAGGCATTTTCACCTCATTCTCTGTAAACCTTAGAGATGGTTGTGTGTGAAAATCCCAGTAGATCAGCAGATTGTGAAATACCCAGACCAGCCCGTCTGGCACCAACAACCATGCCACATTCAGTCACTTAAATCAGCTTTCTCCCCCATTCTGACGCTCAGTTTGATCTTCAGTAGATCCTCTCAACCATGTCTACATGCCTACATGCATTGAGTTGCTGCCGTGTGATTGGCTGATTAGATTTTTGCATTAATAAGCAGTTGAACAGGTGTACCTAATCAAGTGGCCAGTGAGTGTATATTGAACAATTTAAAAGGAAAAATGTGTATAGCACTTGAAAATTTCTGTTTTATTAATGTGTAGACATTGAAAATATTCATCATGCTATTCCAAAGAACAACAAAATATATTTTTCCCTTGAACCGTTTCTCACATCTTTTCTTTGTCTTTCTTCCAGAAACCGTGGACTCCCTGGTGCGCCAGGCGGAGAACCACACTCACACCGTCCTCCTCCACACGTACCGGGACCTGGCCAGTCCCGCGGCGGCTCCCGTGGGGGAGTTTTTCACAGATGTGGGGCTGTTCGTGTTGGGCTCCGAGCTCAGCCTGGAAGAAGCTTCACAACGCCTTTTCGACGCCCTGTTCCCTCTAGTTTACGAGCGACTGGTCGAGCCGGGTCTGTCCCGCTTGACTCCGGCGTACGCCGAGTGTGTCCGCGCTGCGTGTCGGGATCTGGTGCCGTACGGTGCTGCCCCGGGCCGTCTCGCCACACACATCTCCCGCGCCTCTCTGCCGGGACGGGTGTTTCTGCAGGCGCTTCACCTGGGCATCGAGGTCATCAACACCACCGACCATATACAGCTCAGCCGTGAATGCAGACGTGGCCTTCTGAGGATGAGCTACTGTCCACACTGCCAGGGTCTGACCGCCAGCAAGCCCTGCATGGGCTACTGCCTCAACGTGGTGCGAGGGTGTCTCGCCAGCCTGGCTGAAGTGGACGCCCACTGGAGGGAGTTTGTGCGGTCGCTAGAGACCCTCTCCACCCGCATGCACGGAGCACAAGACCTGGAGCAAGTGCTTCTGGGAGTCCACGGGCTGGTGAGGGACGCAGTGGCCCACGCACAGAGGAACGGACCCCGGCTTTCTGCTCAGGTACTTGTGGAGTGGTTGAAAAAAGGCTGGTAATCAGCAGCAGGTTGTAGGATCCGAAGTTATCATGCATAAGACGTCACTACTGATCTTGAGCAAATGAGTTGACTCCAGGTTTCTCACGGTCAAATGACCCTCAATAAATGAACTGTTGCTTCGGATAAAAGCATCAGCTGTCGTCATTTAGATATATTCTTTGATGCAAAGAAGTCTTTTTTGTGTTGGGAATATTTACATTTACTCTTATGCGTTTGGTAGATGCTTTTATCCAAAGTATGCTTTTTATCAGTTCATGCATTCCCTGGGAATCGAACCCATGACCTTGCTGTTGCTAACGCCATTCTCTCCTGTTAGGGCTACAGGAATGTATATTTATATCAATATATTTACTGTATATTAATATTTAATGTATGTGGATGTTTCTTCATCTATAGGCACTTTTGCCAGGTGGACTCGAAAATTAAATATTTGGTTTAAAAAAATAAATAAAACTAACTTATTTAAATAAGGCTTATTTCATATCTATCATTTTATGTATTCTAAGTACAAACGAGTAAATATTTTCTCAGTTCTGGCATAATTTGACTTAAATAAAAAATAAATAAAAAAAACCCTGAAATCTTTATTAGGGGCCGAATTGTTTCAGTGTGGTGTAAATGATGGAGGAAAAACATAACAAGATGATGTAAATTATTATTATTTAATCTTTCACTTTTGTTTTGATCATCTTAATTTTAAACATCTGATCATTTATATTCTTAAAATATATGTTTCATAAGTTAAAAGTTTTTGAGACAAGAGTAAATCAATGAAATCTACATATAATTCAACTGAAAAGTATCATATAAAAATGATAAAAAGGATAGTTTGACATGTTCTCCATAAAATTAATATATATATATATGAGAACAGGGCATAAAAGTACCCAATGTTGAAGAAAAAATACATAAATTAAGTCCTCAGAAAAAAACCCCATTCAAGCTGTAAGTAATTTTGGCTGGAATAAATTGATGCATTTGCCAGTTACATATTTTTCAGTTTTGCACAAAATTTCTGAAGCGACTTGCATGCATGTGACACGTGAGATTTAGAATTTAATTTGGTCTATACAATCCTGAAGACTCAATGTTCATTTACTTTTATGGCTGTGGCTCGTCCAAATGACTTGCATTCACAATTAGGTAAAAACCAAACCTGAACACTGGCCTTTGCATTCCTGCAATTTTCATTCCTTGAAAATTCCTCAAGCAGTGTCTTAAAAGCCATCGTGTAACTACAGCTCGGACGGCGTGGAATGCGTTACGGCCTGAACATCAGTTGCTCACAGTCACTCTCACACATGCCATGATGCTGCCAGCGAGCCCAGAACATTCTCAAAATACCCTCGGTGTGGGCAGCTGCCGAGACTCGG